CTATGCATTTATTTCTTCTTTTGCAATTTGTTTCGGGTCCTGTCGTTCATTGACTGGACTAAAGAGGCCCCAGGACCTGAAGGCAACATAGCACTGTAAACTGTAAAGGATCCATGGAAGTATAGCACTATAAACAAATAAACTGAAAGATAAAGAAATATTACCCAAACACAAATGCAAAAGAAATAGGACGTTCTGTGATCAACATGTAGTCTAGGACTCAACAACAACTTATAAAATAGATCCTTTTAATACTTGCCGGTACTTGACAGTGCTTTTAATAGTACGTATGTTCTCTGTGTCACTATCACCAGACTAAACAACTTGACATAACAGTAGTTAAGCGTATAAACCATTACTTACAGGTCTACCTAACAATCTCTACAAAGTACTTTTTTAAATATATATCACAATAAAAAAAATCTTTTTTTTTAATTCTATTGACTTATCAGTTATATATTTTTTTTTTACAGTGAATAAATATTATATAGTTAGTCGCCTGCATGGCGCAGTGGTGCGTCTGCTCTAGAGTCGCGAAGTAAGGAGTCAATCCTTACGTAGCGGGTTCGAATCCCACAGTGGGACGTGGAGACCAGTCCTTCGGATGAGACCGTATAAACCGAGGTCCCGTGTCGCAGTAGGTGCTGGCACAAAAAAGATCCCTCCCTGGTCAATGGCCCTGAGTGCCGAGTATAGGACAAATTTTGCAGTTTTCCATTGGCAAGTGGAGGCTTCTCCATACGAGTGAAAAATTCTCGAGAGGGACGTTAAACAATATACAATCAATCGATCAATATTATCAGTTGATATACGGTATATGGTAAATACCCGGTAAACCATTTTCTCATTACAACTTTTTACATGGATTGCCTCAAAGATGATCTGCAAAGTATAAATTTTCACAAAAAATAAAAAAATAATGCAGTCCTAGAGCCAAGGCCAACGAAAGAGAGGAAGGCCCAAAGTTACTTGGCAGCGGACAGTGGAAGCCGAATTTAAAGAACTAAACAAAAGCGTGGGCACTCTCCAAAAGCTAGTCAGTGACAGACAAGGACGGAGAACCCTCTTTACTGCCTTATACGTCAAAGGTGTCACGGGCAGTAAGTAACTAAGAGCCAAGGGCAATAAAATTAACAATTTTGGAAAAGGTACCCTTGTCCGTCATAACCAAGCACCAAGTTTTTTTTCCCAGATGCAAGGCGGAGGCTTTTCCTAAAATGTAATATGTATTTCATTATATAATTTAAAATAGAGCCCCACCAGAAAACCATAATCCCTGACCCAGGGCCAATTTCACAATTTCAAGGGGCACTTTTGCCTATCATGACCATGAATTTGTGTCTGCTCAATAGGAATATATTTGGTAAAATTTTGTAAAAGTGGATTAAATTCATGGGTCCAGAGGTCAAATATGTTGATTCACAATGAAGGAAAGGTAAGTTCATTTATCACCACACAAACAGTCCGGTACCGAGTACACCTTTCCGTAGACAACGAGAAGAATTTTGGATCAGAAAACTCGACACCAGAATATAGGCTCGGATCTGTGATTATGGATATTGCAAATCATAGGTTTTTAAACCCGCACGTTTTACTGAAGAAAATGCAGCTAAAACAATCCGTCTTTTCCTTAAACTTCAATATGCCAATAAAGGAATTGAAGCGGTTAATATAAATAATATTCTTCATCACAAAAGGGTCCAGTCTTGTATTCCACCATATTTCAAGTTAAAGACTACATCTTGTATTTCCTACAAATATACATCGACCATTGCCTCCAAACTTTTCAATTACAAAGAAACGTTACATGGCCTGGATATCGAGTATCTGAAACATAATCCTTCATCGTGTTCATGTTCTTCTTCGCCCTATAACTATAGTCCTGCTAGACACGTTATTACAGGTGACGTAAATATACTAAAAGTTAATAATGAAGACCTTAGATCACTTATTTTAAAGGTCCTAAATATAGGGAACCCCGATCCTTCAACTGGCGTCGGATTTTTATAAATATTATGGATTCTGTTGAAGATTACGCCAGACGATGGGCCAAACATGGAAAAGAAGACGTTGACACTTTGTCAGAATGGATTAAATGTATCAGGTCCATGTTAAAATCTCGTATTAAAGGATTGAGGGGCAATATAAAAACCATCTATCCTTCTGTATTCAATAATCCAGAAGTGAGAAAAGAATTTGATAGATTACATGATCAGTACGTATTGGTCCCTGCTGACAGAGCATGTAACAACATTGTCTTCGTTTGTAAGGCTCATTATATAAATTGTATTTTAGAAGAACTAGGATTTAATTCTGCAAGTGGTAATCTAGCTTATACTCAGAGTTCCCTTTCTAAGGAAGAAATTCTTCAAAATCATATGTCAGTTTTGAATATTTTTAATATCCCAAAGAACCAAAATGATTTTGAACTACTATATATATTGGATTCTGAAACTTCAAAAGAATCCTTACAAACAAAGCGGGTTCCAGAACTTCCAGTAAATGTTCAACCAAGCCTCTTTCTTTACTCCTCACTAAGATATTGACAGTAATGAAGGAAAAACTTCAAGAGTACTGTGCAACGATATATTCAAGAAGTGGTGTGAATCAGAAGTGGATACTCAAAAATTCTAAAGAACTTTTGGACAATTTGAAATCACAAATTTTTACCAAAATCAACAGCTTAGAAACTTACAACTTTTGAACTTTATACACAACCATTCCCCTCGATAAGTTCAAGTCCAGGCTTTTTTATATCATTGACAGCTGCTTTTTCAATAAAAATGGAACTCGTGTAAATTTACTTACTTGGTCATTTGCAAAATTATTTTGTCAAAACAGATTCTGATTGCTCACACAAGTACTATGAAGTTGACATCAAAAAGATGCTTGAGTTTCTGATTGACAATATCTAATGTGGTTTTTGGAGACCAGGTCTTCAAACAATCTATTGGAATTCCAAAGGGTACCAATTGCACTCCGTTATTAGCAGACCTATTTTTGTATTCATATGAAGCAGAATGTGTGCAAAATCTCATGCGTGAAAAGAAGAAAACAGTTGCTGTGACCTTCAACTCAACAGTTGGATATATCGACGACGTATTGTCAATTAACAATGGTAATTTCCATTCCTATGTCGATACAATAAATCCTGGTGAGCTTGGGATAAAAGATACCACAGAGTCTGACACATATGTTTCATACTTGGATATTTTACTTGAAAAAGACGTTTAATGGTAATCTAACAACCAAGCTCTATGATAAACGTGATGAATAACATTTCTACCGTCAACTTCCCTTACTTGTGCAGCAATATACCTTCATCACCTGCATACGGCATTTATATATCTCAGTTGATTCGATACGCAAAAGCATGCTCTACGTATGAACAATTTCTAAAACGAGGTAAATTATTGACAAACAAGTTGATGAAACAAAAATATCAGCCGTCTTGTTTAAAGTCATCATTTCATAAGTTCTTTGGTCGATACAATGACATTGTCAGCAAGTACAATTTATCATTGAGTCAAATGCTGACTGACGTTTTTCATACTAATTGTTAGTCCCATTATGTGTCGGCAGGGGATGCTCACTCCTCCATAGCACCTGATCCCACCTCTGATGTTTCAGAGGTCCGTGTTTGCTCTGCTCCTATTTTGTATTGTTTTATGGACTTTGACATTGAATACTGTTCGTTTTCTCCATATCCTTCGTTCATAAAGAATACACATTAAAAACAAAATCAAACAATGTACCTCAGCCACTCAAAAACTTATGGGCAAGGTTCAAGTTCTTGGGGACAAACAGACAGACATAGCAAAATAAAATACCCCCTTACCTTTAACTGGGGGGGTGAAAATATAGTAAACCCATTTTATATCTGAAGAAAAGAGGAATCATAAGGCAAAAACAATTAACTTACATATTACGATATATACCAGAGGTACATATAAAATTCAAAAAGTTGTGTCCATAATACTACTTTTCTGGGTTAAGGAAGCTCTAACACATAATAGTTTTTCATCATCTCTCACCAAAGCTGGTGTTAATGATTTGCAGATAAAAACTTAAATAAACCTAACAATTTCCATAGATCAGAAAGAAAAAAATAATGTATACAATATTTTTATTAGAACAATTAATGCATGTATATCTAACAATTAAATACAAAGATGACAGGATTCAGAAACAAGTTTTGTTACAATATATATTAATGCCTTTCTCTTTGACAATTAATAGTAAAAGAAACATAAAACAGTAAAAATTTGAAAAACAAGTAATTGCCATTCTGTTCTTTATAATTTCCCCCTTGTAATACATATTGTGACCCCACCCTACCCCACTAATCATAATTTAAACAATTTTAAATATATACACTACCCCAGTATGCTTCCACATAAGCTTCAGCTTAGGTTTTCAGATTTTTTTTTTCAGATATATTTCTATGTAACACATTGATTCCACATTGTGGCCCCGCCCTACCCCTGGGGGTCATGATTTGAACAATTTAGAGTCTACACTACCCCAGGATGCTTCCACATAAGTTTCAGCTTCTCTGGCTCAGTGGTTCTTGAGAAGAAGATTTTCAAAGATTTTTCCTATATATTTCTATGTAAAACTTTGATTCCCAATTGTTGCCCCGCCCTTCCTCCCGGGGTCATGATTTGAACAATTAAAAATCTACATAAGTTTCAGCTTTTCTGACCCAGTGGTTCTTGAGAAGAAGATTTTCTAAGATTTTTTTCTTTATATTTCTATGTAAAACTTTGATTCCCCATTGTGGCCCCGCCCTACTCCCAGGGGTCTTGATTTGAACAATTTAGAATCTACACTACCCCAGGATGCTTCCAAATAAGTTTCAGCTTTTCTGGCCCAGTGGTTCTTGAGAAGAAAATTTTCAAAGATTTTTCCTATATATTTCTATGTAAAACATTGCCCCTCTTACCCCCAGGGGGTCATGATTAACAATTTAGAATTTACACTACGCTAAGATGCTTCCACATAAGTTTCAGCTTTTCTGGCCCAGTGGTTCTTGAGAAGAAGATTTTCAAAGATTTTTCCTTTATATTTCTATGTAAAACTTTGATTTCCAATTGTGGCCCCGCCCAACCCCCGGGGGTCATGATTTGAACAATTTAGAATCTACACTACGCTAAGATGCTTCCACATAAGTTTCAGCTTTTCTGGCCCAGTGGTTCTTGAGAAGAAGATTTTCAAAGATTTTTCCTTTATATTTTTATGTAAAACTTTGATTCCCCATTGTGGCCCCGCCCTTCCACCGGGGGTCATGATTTGTATAATTTAGAATCTACACTACCCCAGGATGCTTCCACATAAGTTTCAGCTTTACTGGCCCAGTGGTTCTTGAGAAGAAGATTTTTTAATGACCCAACCCTATTTTTGTCTTTTCTTGATTATCTCCCCTTGCGAGGGGATATGTCCCTTCATTTTAATAATTTAAATTCCCCTTCATCCAAGGATGCTTTGTACCAAGTTTGGTCAAAATTGGCCCAGTGGTTCTTGAGAAGAAGTCAAAAATGTGAAAAGTTTACAGACAGACGGACGGAGGGACAGACGACGGACAAAATGTGATCAGAAAAGCTCACTTGAGCCTTCGGCTCAGGTGAGCTAAAAAACTATACATGTACATATTAAAAAGAATAAACAAGAGACCCGCTGGCCATGTGGCTTATGGTCTCATGAGACTTCTTTGCCCTATTGTTCTCCAGAATATTTAAAAAATGCCCCTCTTTATTTACATCAAGAATTCAGACTCCATACTGTGAAACCACCCTGGCCCCAAAGGGGTACGTAATGTCATAATTAACCTAACTCTTATACACCGTGATGATGTCATGAATATACTTCAATATCAATACATTCACTGAATATTATCACATTATTGCTGATGAAAACCATGAATATGAATATTTACAAAGACAAATTTAAAAAAAATGTTTAAATCTTTCTTAGTTATTTTATTTTCATTAAAAAAAATAAAGCAAGAGTTATTTCCCATTAAATGCCAATCATTTATGTTGACATGCTAAAATTCTTTCATTATTTGGCCAACCCTTTCAAACTGGACATGCACTGAGGTGTATAAAATATTCTCATGTTTCTCTCCCACATCTTTCCTTAAAAAGAAAATGCAGGGGAAACTGGTCTGATTTACTGAGAAATATGTCTGGTTCATTAAAATAAAGGAGGACTACAGCATTTATATCTGTATGACGACTAGTAAAAAATAAAAATTATTTCATTCTAAGATACATCAGCACAATTTCCTGAATTTATATCAAATTTTGACAGAGAGTGAACTTGTAAGGAACAGATATAAAGCTGGACAGATATACATTGTACATGAAATGACTGACTGAAAAAATATAATATATCCAAATATATCTCAATATATAAACAATAAAAGAGTGATATAATTTAAATTCTCTTGGATAAATGTTAGCATAATGAAAAAGAAATTAATTTTTTACTAAAAATAGGAAGTATATACAAACAAAATATTTAGTCTTCTTCGGGTTTAAAGATGATTTCTGTTTCCTCTTCATATCCAGTGGTTGTCCCCCCTCCCACTCTCCCAGCTATCCAAAGGACTCTGAAATTAACAGATGAATGTAATGTTTTTCAAGAATCAGAAATTTACCTCACTCATTAACAGAAATTTACTCACACATAAATGAGATCACCAATTACTCGTAAGTTGTCACTCACATGAGAACTAAATTCATTCTATATCAATTGTTATTAGATCAAGAATACCAGCATTAATATTACTTTGATGATAATATAGGTGATTATAGATACTTATACAGCTTAAACAGCATTCAACATTTTTGTTTTTGTTTTTTTTTAAAGTATTTTCAATTTAATTTAAAAATATCAAATAACCGATATAAGGCTACAAACAATGCATACTAACAATCCTAACTGAGATATTTTACAGAAATGCTTTGTATTTAATATGACAATTCAATGATTTCTTAGAATTGAAAAAAAAGTATAAATTGTCATAACTCACATTATTAATATCACTGCCACAGCACTTATCCCAGCAAACATAAGAAACACAATCCCCCTCATGTCTGTGACTGTGGCGCTATATACAGCGTTACTGAGGGTGGTCCCTACTATTGAGCAGAAGGTATCAGACATACCAACTCCAGCAAACAGTGTCCTTACAACACAACAGCAAGTATACAGAAATCACACTTTCCATTCTGCAGCCATCTTGAAATCAAACCAAAAGCAAGTTATATTCAATGTCGATTCTTCTTTCAAGTTTCATCCTAAACGTGATTTTCAAAAATTAATCTTTATGAATAAAAAATCATTCAAATCACAATGTTTGACTTACCTTGTTTGTCTGCTGGTGTCATTTTTGACATGAATCCCTTCATGAGAGGTGCTATCATTGCAGAGCCAAAACCAACAACAGGAACTATACGTAAAAAAAAAAAAAAAAAAAAAAAATGTACATGTATTGTATGTCTCTCAAATATTTGCCAACCAGTAAGAAACTAAAATGCATATATATACTTACCAAGAAACAATTCAAAACTTTCATCAGCAATGGCCTCCAGAATGAATGCAACCATATGTGAAGAAGCTCCTACCAGTGCTATAAATTCTACTGATACACAACACTGAAGAATACGGATTAGTAAAGCACCAAGAATGTACGAAGACGTGATCCGGATACCCATAAACCACCCGAGGAGTACCGAACTCCAACAAAATGGTTTATTAAGCTGATATAAAGTTTCTACGTTTGAACGTCCTAGTACTCCAAGTTGGACACATATGAGAATCAAAAGAGAAAACACATATCTCCATTGAGTTCCTTTCCCATACTTATCACTAGTGTAAAATTCCCACACTCCTTTTAATTTATCACAGATGTTTATATTTTTAGATCTGGATTTGAACTCAGGAGGTAGAGATTCTGGCAAGAAAAATCCAAATAAAAGAAGAGCCAACAGGACGCACAATGTTGAGATGATGGCTGGTACTTCAAAGCCAAAGGCTCGGATGAGGTAGCCAGAAGAAAGTGTTCCAAGTAGTGCCCCAAATCCTGCGATGATCTCCAAGACCACGAGGAGGAGAATCCGCTTGTCTCCGCTCTTGGTGATGTCGGCTACATAGGAGAGAGACACCGTGACCTGACAGTATAATCCCCCAGTCACACCCTCCACCAGGAGGAAAACAATGAACCAGTACAGCTCTAACTCGTAGTGTATCCCCACTACAAATAATGCACTTCTGACTACAGCTCCAAAAACTGGAATAACAATGAAAGGTTTCCTTCCATATGTGTCACTTAGTGTAGATAAAAAGAAAACTCCAAATATGGGAGGTATGAATAAGGCTAGTGATGTGTAGATCATGAACTGGGAAGCTAAAATTTGGATCTTGTTTCGTAATTCTTCCTCTGTCCCCGATGACGCGTTGACACTGTTATTGCAGTATGACTTTTGCATTTCTCTGGAATTGTATGAAATGTTTGGGAAGTATTTCTTGTGATATGCAAAATACACATACTGATTTAGAACCCCTAATTGCAGAATGGTAAAAGCCACAACTAACAAGCCCACTCCTGAAAACAGAACAAAACAACGAAAGACGAAGTATCGAGTTCCTGTCTGTCTGGCTGTTGCATCTTCATGGGGAAGGTCTGAGTTTCCTAACAGTGGAGCTGTCTCTGCAGCATTGTCTTTATCTTTGTGGTTATCATACAATTTGTCATTGACGGGTGTCTCACAGGAATCTGCCCGCCTTCGGTTAAAACCTCTTTCAAGTCCATTCTCACTTTTTGTCTGCAAATAATAATTGTACAAAAAATTTATATGTATTATACAAGCAGGGTACAAAAATGTGTTACACTCTCCTGAAGTGAATGCAGTACATGTACTACTATAAACCTGTTTTAATATATATTTATAAATGACAAAGTATGATTATGTAGTATAAATGTATTTGTAAAAAGAATTTGTCACAAACTTGAACTGTATATTAATCTTATTGAAATAGATCTTAATTATTTTTGAACAGAAATTACTCACATGTACGTCTAATGTAGAGAAAATTTAAAGACAAGACTATTTTACATACCGCCATGGTTTCAGGAGTCACTTGAAATTTTCATCTCTCATAATTATATATACATATCACTGAACATCTTGAGCAGCTCCTCACCTTAAATTAAAATATATTAAAATGCTTGTATCAATATCATCTTATATTTTTTTTTTATCAATTTGCTAACTTGTGTATCGTAAAAAAAATTTACTGATAGAACAGGTACATGACTGTACAATTCCGACTGGCAGGAGAAGGATGAGATGCACAAAAAGTTAAAACTGCCAATGCACCATTCACTTTTTATTTTAGTCTTTGACCAGTTGACCATTTATTATAGTTATGGACAACTTTAGACTTTTAGAAATGTAAAACTATAACGCTACTACAGTTTCTTCAGCTACTTTGAATACTGAACTGCAATAAGGTGTATTCCTAACACCATAAAGTACCCACTTTCCACATCTCTAATTATAATCCAGGATATACCTAAATCAAAGGACAACTTAATCCCTGTGCTGAATTCATACATGTATTTGCTATATGCAGCATACTGTAAATCCTGGCCTGGCTTTAAAAATTTAATCAGCATGACCACATTGTATAAGCTGCATCATCCGTCCAGGCCCCCTGCATTAAACACTCAAATATCCATACCTCACATCAAGAAGGAAACTTTTTTTTCCATATGATTAAATCTATGACAAATCAACTGTCTTCATAAAGCTAGAGGTTTTAATGTAAACTCGTGCATGAGGCTGGAAGTTTGAACCACCCTCGTTCCCTGAAATGGGGCATGAAATAAATCTCTCAGTGTATTTTTTTTTTCAAATGTGTGCTGTGTCTCTTTTTTTTTCTTGACGCATGGACGTACACAATTTTCTGGAGCATGCGTACATGTGTAACAGGAAAGGAGAAAATGTTTGGCTGGACCGGGAATTGAGCCCGGGATCCCTTCATCTCCAGTCAAATGCTCTACCAACCGAGCTACCCAGGCTGATATCCTCGGCCCAAACCATTACATTCCTCCCTCTTTAAATGGTCTTGGCCTCGAAGACACAACCCAAGTTCTTATTACCCCCTGGCAGGACTTTCACCTGCAATTCCAGGGGTGATCAATGGCACCAGATCTGTAACAGGAGGGGAGAAAATGTATGGCTGGACCGGGAATCAAACCCGGGACCCCTGCATTCCAGTCAGGTGCTCTACCAACTGAGCAAACTCGCTTCAAGACCATGCCGGAACACCGACACCAATCCATTTTTTTCGTATGCTTTGTCATATTCACAAACGGAGAAGTTTTGTATCGTCATGGAATATCGCCCCGACTGTCGACCAGTAAATGAAAGCTCTAAGTAATTCAGCAAAATGTCAAAACTGAAATAAAAATCTTCGTTAAGCCATAAAACACATGGTTTGAGAGATAAATAGCCTCTTCTTGATCATGTGTTTATAACTTTGTTGTGAAATTGATCCATTATATCAGCTGATTATATTATAGTGTGAAATCAAAAAATCCAACGGTGTCATTGCTACAAACTTTTTTATAAAGTTAAGTATTGGTGATTTTCTGTATGATGAGAAATGTAGAAGTAGATTAATATACCTGAAGGCCGAGCTACTAGTTGGACATTCTCCTTTGAAGATCACAATGAAAGGGACATCACTCTCACCTCACTTGAATGCACAGTGGAGGATCCAGGATCTGATCATGCTGATACAGTCTTAAATAACATTAAGCATATATTACATATATAAGACACATGCTGTAGAACTAATTCTATTATGCCTTAAAAAAATAAGCAAAAGAAAAGCAAACCAAAAAAATCTTTTCTTGTTATTTTCATCGAACGTGAACTAATAATTTAAGCAATTTACTTCTGTAAGATTTGTCTACAGAATCTTATACAAATTCTGTATTTGTATTTGCAAAGGTATTTCATCAGTTGACTTATTTTACATTCAGTCTATCAGTTTTTGGAGAATGCCTTTTAAAATTTTTTTTTTGAACACCATTTTTAATATGCATATTACTGAGTTTAATTGGACATTTTTTAACCATATTTTCTTGTTTCGATTCTCTTTTGGGAATTTAAAAAAAAAAAAAAGAATTTTCTTACATATTCCAATGTAAAACTTTAATCGTACATTGTGGCCCCATCCTACCCGAGGGGTCATGATTTGAACAAACTTGAATCTACACCCACTGAGGATGCTTCCATATATATGACTAATCATGGCTTTGCTGTTCTTGAGAAGAAGAATTTTATAAAAATTTTCCCCATGTATTCCTGTAAACTTTGCTCCCCAAATGTGGCCCCATCCTACCCCCGGGGGTCATGATTTGAACAAACTTGAATCTGCACTACCAGAAGATACCTCCAGTTGAGTTTCATTTTTCATGGCCCAGTGGTTCATGGGAAGAAGATTTTCCCTATGTATTCCTATGCTAAACTTTGACCCCTCTGTCATGGCCCCACCCTACCCCTAGGGGTCATGATTTGAAGAAACTTGAATCTACACTACCTGAGGATGCTTCCATATGAGTTTCGTCTTTCCTGGCCCAGTGGTTCTTGAGATTTTTTTTTAGAAAATTTCCCAATGTATTCCTATGTTAAGGTCAGACGACACGTTCCTCAAATAAATGTTTTGTATCTCTTTGTACTATATAATTTTTTTTTTCATATTTGTCATTCTCTTCTGATTTCTACATTGCTTTCAAAATGTTTTTAAATATAAGTACACCAAAAATTGTGTTTTAGGCCATTAAGAAGATTACCCATAAGGGTTATATAAGAAATATGACCCTTTGGAATCCTGGCCAAATGTCTGGTAAGGTTCCCTAATTTTTTGAGAGGAAACTTGTTTAAGTACCTATACTTCAGTGACAAATTCTTAGGAAAATTTATATATTTTTGAGGAACGTGTCGTCTGACCTTAAACTTTGATCCCCCATATGTGGCCCCATTCTACCACTGGGCCCAGGATCATGAAACAGACTTAGACTTTAGTCAAATTTTGGATCTCCTGTAAAATATTTATTATTAATTGAATTAATCTTTAATTTTTCAAATAACAACACTTTTGTAAAACAATATTGTAAAGCAGGTTGCTTTTGGCCTGTACGACTTGTACAACATTTTAGTACAACTCAAAGATTTTGACTTAAGCTTAAGATGTTTCATGATCCCGGGGACTGGGGGTCATGATTCGGACAAACTTGAATCTACACTATCTGAGGATGCTTCCACATGAGTTTCCTTTTTTCTGGCTCATTTGTTCTGGGAAGAATTTTTTTTTAAAGATGCCACTAATTTTTCACTAAGGCCATTCCAAGTTTTTTCTATGTTTAGCGTCCGCGTGCGCCTTGGTTTTTGACACCCCATGTCAGAAAAAAACAAACAGAATCAGGAGTCCGAAAATTAATTATTCAGGTCAAAATTTGTGATTTCCGGCAATATCTGTAAATATTTGTATAATATTGCATTGTTGGAATAGTTTCAGTATCTAAATATTTTGATTTTGCTGAAGAAAATAACTTTCTTTATGAAAAATAGATAAATGGAATCATATCTTTTGAATTACGTCATTCTTATTACTATAAAGTATGTGTTTTATTTATTTTTTGACTTGTGTGTTTTTTGCGAATAGGTAGCTTTTTTTGAAAGATGCCACTAATTTTTCACTAATTCATAAGTATCTCCCATTAGAAGAGGGCGTGGTCCTTCATTTGAGCAAACTTGAATCCTCTTTACCCAAGGATACTTTGTGTGAAGTTTTGTTGAAATTAACCCAGTGGATCTTGAGAAGAAGATGAAAATGTGAAAACGACGCCAACGGACAAATTTTGATCAGAAAAGCTCACTTGAGCCTTCGGTGAGCTAAAAATGCCATTAATTTTTCAAAGTTTCAAAATTGTCTCCCCTTGGAAGAGGATGCGTGGCCCTCCATTTGAACAAACTTGAATTCCCTTCATCCAAGGATACTTTGTGGCAAGTTTAGTTAAAATTGGCCCGGTGGTTCTTGAGAACAAGATGAAAATGTGAAAAGTTTACGACAACGATGACAATGCCAAGAACTATGACGACAGGGCAATGAGCCTTCGGTTCAAATAAAAGGGCTGCTTTAAATAAAAATAAAACATAATTATTGGGAATTTTTAATCAGCCAGATTCAATTTCCCTCGGTCTTCCCTCGGGAAACAGTCCACTTTTGGGAAACTAGAATGTTGCTGACTCCCTAAAAGACTACATAAGAGTATATGTATACGAACAAGAAATCAAAATCCACGTGTGGTCATCTTTTATTTAGATTTATAAGCAAAAAACATGTGATTTTAATATGCGTAATTAGTAATCGTGTAATCCAGCGTGTTTCAAGATATATAATAGAATATACAAATCTTAAAGTTTACCACACAAAATATAAATGATAACTAGTTATATACATATATCTGCATAATTTATATCCTTTATTCAACCGGAATAATCACTTAGAATTTTGACTACATAAGTAGCTTAATTCAGAACTTAAAGCATCTAAAACCATAACGCTGCAGCTGGTAAAGGACTACAACGTTTGAGTTTACCATTACACAACAGTTCTTTAGCAAGGTTTTGTCTCACTCAGAAATGTTCTTGTTTTTCGGTAATCCCTCTCCCTCCCTCTCTCCCTCTCTCTCTCTGGCAAAAATAGTACGGGATCCAACCGAAACTCTCTGTAGTTCCACCAGTTATGCTGATATTTTTAAATCATCTTTTATCTAAATTCTTTTTAATGTGTTTTTTTGGTCATTAATAAGCCATTTATTTCTCCTCTGGATCAACAACAATTTCCTTTTCTTCGTAAGTCATATCTTTAGATCCGCCAACTACACCAGCTAACCAGAGAATGCTGTATAAGTAACCAAATTTCAAAAGTTAGCCAAAAAAAAAAAAAAAAAGAAAGAAAGAAAGAAAAGGAAATTACACAAAAGAAATACATGTGCTTTAAGACCAAAGAACAAGCGATCTGACTACTTACAATATTAAGATTACTGCTACAGTACTGATCCCAGCAAACATAAGAAACACAAACCCCCTCATGTCTGCCACCGTGGCGCTATATACAGCGTTACTGACCGTGACACCAATGATGTTACAGAAGGATTCAGTCATCCCAATACCCGCAAATAAGGTCCCTATACAAGAGAATCAAGTTTATAACTATTAGGTCTTTGCTGTTATCTAATAGAAAAAATACATAATCTATATCATACATGCCATCTATAATATTACTAATTATTCTATTTTTTGTTCATTTTGTTCAATTTTTATATATAAAAAGATGTTATAATGATCAGATATATATTTTTAAAGTAATTACTGTATCATTTCACAGTGTCTTGAATTTTCTGCATACATGTACTTAGTCTAGTGAACAACTGGATGCACTTGCCTTGTTTATCTGCTGGAGTCATTTTAGACATCAATCCCTTCATAATCGGTCCAATCATTGCAGATCCAAATCCAACGACAGGAACTTTAGAAAAAGGGGAAAAGATCATTTACGACAATTATACATTACAGCAAATTTATTACCTACGATCATGATATTGCAAAAGATTATGAGATTTTTTTTATTTACCGAGAAACATTTCAAAACTCTCCTCCGCAAAGGCTTCCAGAAGAAACGAACTAGCGTGCGATACTGCTCCAATAAGACCACAAAATTCATTTGATATGCAACGTTGCAAAAGGCGAAGAAGCACTAAACCAATGATGTAGGCAAATGCGATCCGAATGGCGAGAAACCAGCCAAGAAGCACCGAATTCCAACAAAACGGTGCATTCAACTGATACAGGGTTTCAACACTTGATTTACCCTGTGTGCCTAGGTGAACACATATGACAATCAAAATAGAAAACACATATCGCCACTGAGTCCCTTTTCCATATCTGTTGCTTGTATAAAACGTTGTCAATCCTTTTAATTTATCACAGAATTGCAATCTTTTTGATTTCGACTTAATCTCATGCGGTAGAGATTCAGGAAGGAACAGTCCCATGATTAAAATAGATAGAAAAACACATATCGTTGAAATCAGCGCTGATATAGTGAAACCAAATGTTCGAATGAGATAGCCAGAAGAGAGGGACCCTATAAGACCACCCACTCCGGCGCTCACCTCGATGATCACCAGCAGGAAAATACGACTGTCTCCGGGTTCTGTTATATCAGCCACATACGACAAGGCTACCGAGAGTAGACTAAATAACCCCCCTGTTGCACCCTCCACAAGCAAGAAAACAATCAACCAGTAGAGATTTATCTCGTAGTGAATACCAATCACAAATAAGACACATCTCAGGAAAGACCCTACAATTGGAAGGATAATGAAGGGTTTTCTTCCATATGTGTCGCTCAGCGTAGCAAAGAAAAGGTTTCCAAGTATAGGAGGAATGAATAATACTAAGGAGGTGTAAATTAGAAACTGCGAGGCCAGAACTTGGATTTTGTTCTCGGCATCTTTTATATCTGAGGAAACGTTGTTTGCTTTGCAATATGACTTATCCGAAGGCTCGAACTGGAAAGTCAGATTACCAAAATAGTATTTGTGGAAGTAAAAATACACGTATTGGTTGAGTACTCCAAGCTGTAGTATTGTGAAGGCGATGACCAACAGGACAAGTCCTAGACTTAACACGAAGCAATGACGAAAGAAACGTCTCGTTCCATGAGATTTCACGTCCCCCTCGTTGTTCTGCGTGCTCTCTTCTAGAAGTGGTGCCGACTCGGAATCAGTAGAATCAAGTTGTTGTCTGGAATCTGGAATTTTGGTCTCGTCATTGGCCGTTGATTTCGACTAAAAAGATTAAATGTATGATATGAGTGAAAGATAGAAAATATTTTCTTCTAAGAAAAACTTAAATCTGTTGAAAAAAAAACAACCCATGCTATAGATATACGAGGAAAATAAATAAGTATGTACGTGTGTCATCCTGGAACCTCCATTCTAAAACTGCTAGATCCGCCCCTACTTAACCTTTCTTTGACATCAAGTACATGCGTACGTGGAATATTTATAAATAGCCAATATGAGCTAGGTGACAAGAAGACACCTCTGTCTTTATGTACACATCTAAAGATCCGTCGTATCGGTTGATTTGAATTTTGAATGCAATTAACCATTTCCTTTAAAACATAATGTAAGTACATCACATCTGACAATCATCATATATACGTATATATATGGATATATTTACATCACTGAATATTTTCTCCTTTATTTCTTAAGAAACCCCATTGTTATAATCAAAACATATATACGGATATATGCTTCCGTTCATTCCAGTAACAACAAACAAAGAAAGCATTTTATTGTTTAAATATACTATCATATCCAAGTGACAGTGACAATATTGATCAAAAGGCCCAACATATCCAAACTTGGCAAAAAGGGCCACTTCCACCTTATTCGCGATATTTTTAGTTCACAAGCTTGATTTAATGAAATTGTTGCGATAACATACCTTCATACTTGCAATCTTGACATTAAGCACCCATCTGAAAGTGAATGGGAAAAAAAATGAACTACAGAGTTAAGTCCAGGACAAGAAGTACATATTGTTCAGAGAGAGAGAGAGAGAGAGAGATCAAACCTTTGGAGTTATCGAGTTAAAATTTTCCATTACTTGTAGATGCACACCGTCTATACATTAACCAGAAGCGGAACACAACACACCGACTCTTTAACTTGTGCCTATAAAACAGAACGTTCTAGTTTGTCAACTCTGTCTCATGTGCGTCTTATAGATCGTTTACTGACTCAATGACATTTAATAAAACCGTTACAACAGCGAAACATAGATAAAATAGAAAAATAAAAAGATAAAGATTTAAACTTTTTATTCAGATAACACAAAACATCTTCGAAATCAGTTTTCACTTCTAAACACAAAAAAGAGAATAAATAGTCATAATAGTAAATGTTCTTTGTAAAATAAATCATAAGAGTTCAATGACTGTTTTCGTCTGCATTTTGAAGTCTATTCTCAGTTTATAAATGGTCAAGGGGCCCGAACTCCCATGCGATAAATTTTAATGGTTAGATTTGTCGGTTTTCAAAACACTGTCCTTTATCATGAATGTCATGTTTGATTTAAAACACTACGTTTTTCCTAGCGGTCAATGAATAATTTAAAATGTTTCCTCTCGCGGGTTCCATATATGCGCAAAATGAAAGTGGAAATAAATGTAAATTCCAATGTGGTTAATTTTAGAAAAAGAAAAAACGTCATGTGACTTGAAGAAAGGATACATTTTCTCAATTGGTAAACTATAATTTGGCCCTTGTCTTTTTTAGGGTTCATTTCAATCTCTACAAAGAGTTATCGGTCCACTTAGCGAAGTGAACGATAACTCTGGGTAGAGATTGGGTTCTTTTGCGATCAATTTCTCAAGTGAGTATTCTAATCGAATTTTCAGCTCATTTTTGTCCTCCGCTTTCAGAAAAGAGGTATTACAACAAAATACCCATAGTCCTTTGCGTCTCCGCACACAGAGAACTGTGGCAGAAGTTTGGTATGTTGTGTAAATCGCATTCATCAGACTTTTTGTCTATAGAGAAGTGGAAAGGCTTTCGCCAAAATCCAGTGGATGTAGGTAATTTAAGCTTGTCCACTTTTCTAAAAAGAATATCATCAGACTGCATGTGTGGCACTTTGCTTATAAATTTCGATTAAAAACGTTTAAGGTCAAGATCTATAGTAAATGAAAGGTGCCTACAGATTTATCAAATTCTAGCAATAAATTCCTTTACTGATGCTTTATATCTTTAGCTTGGTCAAATAAGGAGTTTCGGGGCATAACTTATAGGTAATCAAGATGAAAAACATATTTTGAACCGTCATTTCTAATGAAAAATATACATGTATATTTATATAAACAAGAGGCCCATGGGCCACATCGCTCACCTGAGTACTGTAGCTTAGAAAAAGGAGAAATTGAATTATTATTGAAAAGTTAAAATCCAAAAGTAATCCCATGATCAATCATGGATTTGCTATTCTTCAAAGAATTTTCCCATATATTTCTATGTAAAACTTTGGTCGGCCATTTTGGCCCCGCCCTACCCCCTGGGGTCATGATTTGAACAAATTTGAATCTATACTACCTGAAGATGCTTCCATATAAATATGATGAATAATGGCTTTGTCATTCTTGAGAAGAAGATTTTTAAAGAATTTTCCCATTAATTTCTATGTAAAACTTTGGTCGGCCATTTTGGCCCCGCCCCACCTCCGGGGGTCATGATTTGAACAAACTTGAATCTACACTACCTGAGGATACTTCCATATAAATTTGATGAATTATGGCTTTGTCATTCTTGAGAAGAAGATTTTTAAAGAATTTTCCTATATATTTCTATGTAAAACTTTGGAACATGAAAATCAAAACCATTTTGGCCCCGCCCTACCCCTGGGGGTCATGATTTGAACAAACTTCAATCTACACTACCTGAGGATGTTACCCCATAAGTTTCATCTTTCCTGGCACAGTGGTTCTTGAGAAGAAGATTTTTAAAGAATTTTCCAATATATTTCTATGTAAAACTTTGGTCGGCCATTGTGGCCCCGCCCTACCCCCTGGGGTCATGATTTGAACAAATTTGAATCTACACTACCTGAGGATGTTACCCCATAAGTTTCATCTTTCCTGGCACAGTGTTTCTTGAGAAGAAGATTTTTAAAACATGCCACCAAATTTTCATTAATTCCCAATTATCTCCCCTTGAATGTGGGCGTGGCCCTTCATTTGAACAAACTTGAATCCCCTTCACCCAAGGATGCTTTGTGGCAAGTTTGGTTGAAATTGGCCCAGTGGTTCTTGAGAAGAAGTCGAAAATGTGAAAAGTTTACAGACAGACAGACAGACAGACAGACAGACGGACGCCGGACAAAATGTGATCAGAAAAGCTCACTTGAGCCTTCGGCTCAGGTGAGCTAAAAACCAGTCATGAATATGGGAGTTTTTTCTTTATAACACAAAAAAAAAAACACACTAAAAATACAATGTGGTATTTTCTTGCAGAGCTGTCACATTATATAAATGGTGCCTGTTTTGGAGGGTAACATTTGAAATAGACACCCCAAGGAAAACCATTGTCAACCGACGCGTCAGCGGAGGTTGACAATGGTTTTCCGAGGGGTTTCAATTTCAAATGTTACCCTCAAAAACAGGCACCATTTATTTTATTATACTGAATGTCTGATTTAGGACGTCAGCAAAAAAAAAAAAAAAACCAACAAAAAAACGGTCGATCGTCTTTACGTTCATGTATAGAAAGCTTTCACACTCACCGGTTCACTAATCTCCTTATTGTTTGTTTGATACTCGAATTAGAGTCATTTATCATATAAAGTTTCGTTATTTCTGGCTCGCAAGCATGTTTCCTACACTCGCAAGCATGTATCGTCTGTCGTTTGTTGTTTTCAAGTAAGCTATATCGGACGCAAGCTTTATTGACATCAAGTTAATCCCGGTTCCTTCAAACGCGCAACTGACGTTTTGAGAATTCTACGGTGAACCGTACGCGCATAATTTCCACGCATGTGGCATTACCGTTGTGTTACCCGTTGTCACGTGTGTTGCTAAGGCTCAGGGTAATCGAACGGATTGTTAACTGCGTCTAAACCAATCAGATTTTAGCATTTAACATGAAAGTATAATAAAAAAACATGACCTTGTTCATAACTTTTCAGTGAGAGGAGATATGCCTTTTAATAGTTTACTTACCTGTTTAAATTGTTTGCATCACTTCCGCATGATATAAAGACTTTCAAATTTTCGTATTGAAGATATTTTATTCAAGCTTAAGTTATGATATTTTTTTTCTTTGTAGCAATAAATCATGGCAACTGCTAAAAACTTAGATAACGAATGGAACCAACCATATCATGTGTATGGGCCTGGCGAGGGAAAGCTTCGAAGACGGATTCTTCGACAAGTGGGTGATTACAGAATTGACCAAAAGGAATGGCAAGCAGAAACAAAAGAAACAGAAAAGTTTCTCGGTAACTTGACGTCAAAAATTTGTGAAAACTCTGGTAAGTTTAACAGTGAATTTCAAGTCAGCAGAGACTACGTCAAACAAGCCAGTGGAAGGCAAGGTCTTAAAATAAACTCTCCAGACGAATTTGATATCGTCGTACCAATACATTTAACAGGACTGGATATACAGCAGGCAAAGGTCAGAAACTCGGATGGGAAAATAATGGCAGGGCTGCATCGTCAAAGAGTCTTGAATAAAGATATGTCAACCACCCACCCACGTCTTTCGCACGAGGGTGTTTTTCAGCGCCAAGGAGGTAATGTGTTTCTCAATTCAAAGAGTTTCCATGAAAAAGTTTGGACTGGTATTGTGGATAAGGCATTGGAAGACGTTAGGAAAGACATGCCAAATTATAAAATTGTGCGCAGTGTTCACCCACCGACAGTGAATGTTCAAATAACGTCACCTACTGGTAGGGTTATAAACTATGACGTTGTCCCCGGGGTGAGCTTGAAAACAGAGACAATACGAATTCCGGAGAAAATTACTGGGAAGCAGGCAATGGTGGTAAATTTGCCTATCTTTGCTTTGCCAAAACATGACAACAAGAATAGCCCCGTTATTCACGACAAAGACAGATCCCTCATTTGGCGGAATGACACAAGTTCGCACGAACGTTGTATGGCGGATTTATGCAAGAATTCAGATCAAAGAAGATACATAATGACAGCCAGTCGCATCCTTAAATCGGCGATAAAAACTCTGCAAGAAGAACAGAACCACCTTGGGCATCTCATCAACTCATATCACTTGAAAACAATAGCTTACAAAACTGTGTATGATTTGACGATGCGTGACTCTAAGAGAAATCTTACTGGTGTAAAGGATGCTCTTGGACACCAAATTACAGCCCTTAACAAATGCGTGTCGGAACGTTATTTGAATGACTTTTTTCAAGGCAATGAGGATTTGGAAAAAATTTTCCCAGGTTCAGAGCTAACCAAAAATCATAGACAGCAGAACTTGTTTTGGAAGGCAAATCCCAATTTGATGATGTCAGCTAGATATGGTATCCCAAAACTTACCGGGAATCTGAATGGTTGTTTTACTTGTATCAATGGGCAATGAACTGAAATCAAAAACTCTCGCAGTTCAGTTTTAACTTTTCTGTGGTTTATTTTGTATGCTGACCGAGAATGTAAATTTGAAAAGTTTAAATCTGTTTCTCCTTGTAAATTCAACTACATGTACTTGTATATAAATCTTACACTCATTACACTGTAATTAAGCAGATATACATGTAATTAACCAATGTCATTATAAATATTGTCATTAACAATGATGCAAAGATATCAAAACTTTAAAGCAAAAAAAAAAAATCTATTTACCGACTATTAAATAACAGACATCAATCCAATTTAACTATAGAAACGTGATGTTATTCAAGTTAGAAATACGTGAATTTTTTATGTGAACGTTTCCTCTTTATGTACACTCAATTTTGTATTATTTTTCAGCTCAAGTACACCATATATATTTAGCTTTAACATGACTAGAAAAAAATTAATGTCTGCTATTTCAAAAGACTTTTACCTTACTCTTGTCGTCAATTTCTGACAAACGAACACGTGCATTATTCTATAGGGCTACGAATTATCGATTACATCGATTGTCTGTGAGGACGATACGCATATATAGATATACGTGTGTAGAAATATCGCCCCAAAAATATGACATTTATTCTTCGTTTGCATAACAATTTGGGTTAGTGGGTTTAATATATAAGATAAATACCGGTACTAATATGGTAAATTTACTGAAATATATATTGACATGGAATGCAAAACGATTAAAGCCACTTCTATAAATAATTTTGTTTTCAAAGAGATGACGAGCTTTTGTGAATATTTTTTTTAAATGAAGAACTGTTTTGTTCATTCCAATACAAATAGAAGATTTTATTTCTAACTCAAAATATCGTGAAACATCGTATCGTGGCTCAAATATCATGATACCTTTCGATATTTTTTTAAAATTTGTGTGACTTGTGCGTTATATAAGAAAAATCCGTAACATCAAGTGGTTGTGCGTTCCAGTCCTAAACGATTATAGCGATGAACGAATACTTAGTTGAGCAATACAATGGGGAGGGGGAGACAAATTCAAAACTCCTATTTGGTCTGAAACTCCGTGAAATAAATCTACAACCGTATTCATTCCGTGCCCTCCCCCTACTCCCCTAATGGTACGCGTATGGCGTCTTACGGGTATTAAGTAATACCATGCATCTTTCGACCACTTGAAACGATAGGTCGTTCTGTAAAGAAGTATATAAACCCCTCCCCTCGATTTTTCAGATTTTTGCCCTTCCACCCCCCACCCCTGCATTTTGGAAAATACAGACCTTTCCTAAGTTGGTCGAGGAGAATATAGCAACCTAGTTTCTTAAACGAATTTTGAGTTGGGATTTTTGTTCATCTCTCTATGAGATTTTTTAGGCATATAAATAATCAAAAATCCCAACCCCAGGCGTAAAAAAAATCCTGTGTTATTTACCTGATTGTGTAATACATATATCCAAAGAAATACATATTCTATGTTTTAAATTATTAATCATTTAATGATAATTAAAATCAAAATTCTTTGTGTCCCACGGCATCTTTCTAAAAATCCTGTGAAGTTCCTGGTATGTGAAAAGTTAACACATCCCTATCTGGTGTTACTTGCCGACAGATGTCACTGCTAAATTTAGCACTTCACAGGAGTAATTAAAGTAATTATAATCAAGTTGAAAGTAACTATCATAGATTATCTTTAATTAATGTAATTTAATATAATTATAGTCATTGACTTTATTCACTTTTTGTAAACAATTTAATAATTGTGCATAAAGAATTCCGAAATGATATTAATTTTTATTCACTATAGAAGCCCTAGCATTCCGGGATAAATTTTACAGGAGAAAAAAGTGAAGAGGTATGTATTAGCGAGAAAGCGCGCTCAGCCAAAATTACATTATATATTCATATAAAGATGTATACCTAATCAAATTTACCATTTATTATAAGCATACCACTTGAAATTGATACAGTTGATGGAATTTAACTCGAAAATTCAGATTCTATGAATAAGTTTTTTAAAAAAGTTAAAAATCAGATTTAACCTTTAATCGCAACAAATGTTATGTTTATAATATACAAATATAATGCATAGTGCTTTATTTCGAAGTTTTAAAACTATGCTAGATGCAATAGTTTACAATGAAAATAGATTACGCTGTATCTGGGAATTGTCATAAGGATTCAAGACATAATTGTCAGAAAACACGGTTAAAATCGATCGATGTAGATCTATGGCACGCAAAATTCACAAAAATGAGATAAACATAATTTCACAGTCGATAAACTAGGTGATGGGAAAGAGGGGGGTGGGTGGGCACATGTAACTACAGTGTATACATATATTTCATAGGGACGCGGCAAGGTTCACCAGTACAAAGAATATCTTACCTGTACAAATGAAAATGAATATTTTAAATATGTTAAATTTTAATTTTGATGGGATTTGTATAATTTGTTATTTGATATATTAAAATATTCAGTATATTTTGGTATTTGATATACATGTAAATATATTCAGATGGAATTTGTGTATTTTTGATATTTGATATATATAAATAAGATTAGTATATTTTTGATTTTTGATATATTCAGATGGGATTAGTGAAGACACTGATTACAACCAGTCACCCTCCTTCTGATATTCACACACCGAATGAAAAATGGGCCAGGCAACTCAACCAAGGTAAAATTATAATTTTTTTTATATTAAATGCATTCTTTTTTTTGATTGACAGGAATATTATTTTAACGTGTCAGGGTTTCAATGGGTTCAATATCTTGTTCTTTATTACAGAAAATCCTTTTACTAGTAAATTAAAATAAAATCGATTTTGTGTGTTGTTCTAAAATATGTTTGTTAATATACACGTACAGCCATCTATAGTTGATTTTTTTTCTGTTTACATTTTTTTCACACACACACAAACCAATACACACGATCCATATTTTATTATACTATACTTTCATGTAAATTAGTTGAATCTGATTGGTCGACAAACATTTGTTAAAAACACTATTACCCGCTGAATAATGAAACACAAAAAGTAGCGACTGCGCAGAATTTATGCGCACGCGGTTCACTGTAATATGAATTTGTATGAAATATTCAGTTTAATATAATAAATATTGCATGTAATTGAGTGTAACATTGAAAATTTTCACCCCCTCGAAAACCATTGTAAACCTCGGCAGCGCCTCGGTTTTCTTGGGGTGAAAATTTTCAATTGTTACACTCAAAGTTCTACATGCAATATTTATATAATAAATGTTACACTCAACTACATGCAATATTTTTATACTATTTTATTAAAAAATGTACTGGTATACTTAATACCACTTGTATTTCCATATCAACAATGAATGTGAAAAGGCATCCAACGGATATGTATTGAAGTATTCTTTTACTATGTATACGTACCACATATAGGTGTGCAACATATGTAATATTAAGCAGAGGGTAAAAGCAAGGTTTTTCCTATATTTGATGGAAACATGTGGAAATCGTGACATCAATAGTTTCCATATATAAATGTAGTTTTCTTTTACGGAAACCACTAAATGGTTTCAACATAGATTCCCAACATGAAAATAAGCAACCTAGCTGTAGTTATATTTCCCAAAATAAAACGTACACACTAGAAGGAAACAGTCAACCTGTGGTTTCCATCATGTTTCTCAGATGGGTAACTATGAAAATATACATTACTGTACTAAATTCCACCACTTAACATTTTATGAAACTTGGTTAACACTTACTTCCCCGATGATACCCAGTTTGGAAACATTTAATACCCCCCCCCCCCCGAAAAAAAAAGTTGACTATATTATACTTTTCATAGAACTGCCAGACGTGTAAGCCTGTATTAGAAAATTGATTCTGTGGCCTTAAACACAAATTAATTGAATTTTTACATTGGAATATCAGTAAAACTTATATTTATGATATGGAATGGAGAATTGCAACTTTTTATAAATATCTATCATAATTGATATGTACAGTGATGCGATAAAAATCTGTCACTGCGCAACTCTCCTAACTTGCCACAGGTTGGGGACACGTGTCGCGAAGACACCTGCTACTGTTTGTATTTTTTTTATATTCCATGTGATTTGAGAGGTTTTTATTCTTAAAGAGAACAATGGACAGTCCTCAGGCATGTATATATGTATACATACGCTTTGCCTCCACAATCTCAGTGTGAATTTGGGTGGCTATCCCTGATCATCGATTGAAAAAAAAATAGTTTTAATTAAAACAAGATAAAATATTGATAAATGGGCTGTATTTTACTATTGAATTCAATCTTTAGATGTTTAAATAAAAAGATAATAGGATAATGTTTAAATTTTCATTAGTGATTGAAACGAAAAAAAATCTAACAGTTAATATAGAATTTTTATACCTTTCTTTTAGTTTAGTATATTTAATAATGAATATCTTATTTCTAATTTTTGTTGTTTTCTTTTTAAATAAATTTACGTGAATATTAAAAACATGATAATAAATACGCATGTAATTGTCTATAGTATGGTAAAATTAAAAATATGAAAAAAAGAACCCGAATCTTCTTCGTCTGACATCAATGTAAAGTAAAATTATTGAAAACGAAAAAAAAAAGAATGTATTAATCATATTACCCCTAACTGCAAGCAATATTCTGTGAAATTCCTCGGCCTCTACAATGTACTGCTTATATGCACAGGTTTTTGAAGTGCATCATTCTTTGTTACACGAAAATATCGCAGTGTAATATTCATGCAAGACCTTTTTCTTCTAAGATGAACCAGACAGCGGACAACTAAAGGATCTGATTGGTGTAGCAGTCGGGGTTTATTTCCTCATCTTCATCGTAGTCATCGTCACCATCTTCTATCGACGACGAAGGCGACGACCATCTTTTGAATGATCATTTATATTTAATCATCTCACCATAACCGTCGCCACCATTTTTAAACGAGGACAAAGACGAGGGCTATATCCAGTGATAAACATACATTGGTTTCATCATTATCACAGCACCGTCATTTTCCATATTAGTGCCGCATTAAACCGAGGACAAGACTGGTCCAGGAGTGAGTGGCTATTTTCATGTGGTTTCCATTGACCGTCATAAACTGTTACAAATGAGATTATTGAAGGAACATATTTGTGTTCAAAAATTCCACAGCATGTCAAACATATCAAAACTATTTTTTAAATTTATTTTCATTTGTATTGTAAAATTATCTATTGATATTATATAATTGTTATTGCATATTTTAAATTTGTATTCAATATTTTTTTTTCATTTATATTATATAATTATACTGACTATTGTTTTTCATCATTAATCATTCGTATTCTATAATTTTCCAATTTTTTTGGTATATTTTTTCATTGAATTGTATGATTTTTTTTATTTCTATTTTTATTATATAATTGTCAATTTTGTACAACAAAATTTTCAACTTGCATTATTTTACTTTTTATGTGTTTTCAATAATTTACATTTGTATTATGCATCATAAGTTCTTGTACATGTTGTATAATAATTCACGATTTTCTTTTATTATTTAACTTTGAAATTCCATTTTTATTGTACAATATTCTATTTTTATTCTAGAATTTATCGTTTGTAGTTAATAATTTCCCGTTTCGATTTTATAATTCATTGATTTTTATTTTCCATTACATAATTTCTCAGATAGGAAAAACAACAAATGAAAAATTGTAGAATGCAAATAGAAAAATATATGCACATGAAATATAACACAATGTAAATCAATAATTTTTACATTACAAATGGAAAAGATTGGATATTGTATGATTTGACATGTCATAATATATCACTGCAGTGCTTTTTGAATAAAAAAAATATTTAAACTCTAAATATGTTTTCTTCAGATGTTTTGAATATGACCAGTTCAGATTTGTGGTCACACAAATGTGTATCATTATTCAGAACGGATATTAGCTGTTTGTAAAGTTATGATATTCTTTTACCAATTTAAGAAGATCACGGAATTTAGCAATAAGCTGTATGGACGAAACCAGCTGCATATAGCTGTTCTGCTCATGTACCAATTAATATTGATGCTTGATCGTCCTAAAGATAACGATGATTGTAATTGATAAGGAAAACAATTAAATATTAATGTTTCAACGTAGATGGTTGACTATTTTCAGGACTTGAATAGCATAGCATAGTCCTTCATAAGTACATTGCTCGTTTCGTGTACCGGAAATTCTAGTAATCGAGATCTCCTCAGCGGAAATGAAATTCGTTTTCTTGGAGCGATCGCTGAATTCCGTGGCAACATTAACAATTACCATTTTTCGTGTAGAAAATCTCTTTATTTTAATTAAATGATCATCAAATTGAAATCTCTCGTTAATTGGTTCGTTTGTTTAAGGAACGAAGCAGCTGTTCTCTCGGCGATGATAATTCTATGTATAGTCGACAGATTTTGCATTCTCACAAATTAGTGATTGGAGAGAAAAACGAGAAGGTCACGATATAACGGGGTCCTAATTAATCATCTTATAATTGGGACTGTCTTTGCTGAAAAATCCCCAGTCGCCATGGAGGGGCAAAATGACACAGACTGCAAAAATCTTGATCTAAGCAATGAGGGTATTTTTTCAAGTATGTATTCATCAACCTTTCCATCGTTTGGGGGAGAATTTTCGGCATTTCAGAATTGGAGGAATTGTTTTAAACGAAACAGCGATGAATTCCAAAGAACTTTGGAAGATTTAAAAAACAGAGGATGGTGGGACACAGGGTATCGTCTGACAAAATCCGAAAATGTTTCAAACAACTTGGAAGACAATTTTTCTAAAAGTGAAAGTAAAATGACTAAAGGGATCGAAACGACTTCTCTTGGACACTGTTTGCCTGCATTTGCACCCGTGTTTGCTGGACTAAGTAAGTTAGTATAAGATTAAAGGTTAACTACAAAACTAAGGAAGAATGTGAGGAATAGCGCTTGTTTAGCACTTAGTAAGTCATGCTTTCGTATATTGCTTTTGGAATAGTTTACAGAAAAGAAGAACGATGTTAAAGTGTCTTGTACTTATAACTACACTGTACATACAATCTTGTAAGCGTAAGAAAAGGGACTAGAAGACATGGAAGAAATCAACAAAACAAAAGCAAAGGCGGTACAGCATATAACATATGTTAACCATTGCTTTAGTGTAAATTAGAATTTTTGTTTTTTGTACTCATATTAACTAAAAGTGACCTGCACACTCAGATTAATACAAACGATACAAAGGAATGCACAAATACACTGTATGTTTCTGGATATATAGTAATGAAATAGGACGCAACTGCTATTTTTTGCATATTTAAAAGAAAGTCAGCCTTTTATATGTTTAACTTCTCACCCTTAGTCTTGTAATTCATAAAAAACGGTATAAATTTATCAATTACCAATTTACTATCATATCTAATTCTTTGTAGTGCACAGACGAAGGAGACGAGAGAACAGACCCAGACGACAAAGAACGACGTTCTCTAGCGAGCAGACGGTCAAACTGGAAATCGAGTACAGTCGCACCGAATACATCACTCGCTCGAGACGGTATGAACTAGCGGAAATACTCTGTCTCACAGAAAACCAGATCAAAATTTGGTTCCAAAACAGACGAGCAAAAGAAAAAAGGATAGAGAAAGCTCACATGGACCACCATCTGAGGTACAAAAAATTGATACATGTAATACTCGCAGTAAGAGCATATGTATGTTTTATCCTATGTAACTTTATATCCTATAGCTTTTATATATACTTGGAGATAAAAATATCCGATTGCTTTGTAAAACAATTTAATTATAACAAGAGGCCCATGGGCCACATCGCTCACCTGAGTAAATTGGGTGATGCAGTTCTTGACCAGATTTCCCCTTTGTTATACCTATTGTGGCCCCCTACCATCCCTCCCCTGTCATGATTTTAATACTTTAGAATGGACACTACCCCGGAATGCTCCCACATAAGTTACAGCTTTCCTGGCCCGGTGGTTTTTGAGAAGATTCCTAAAAGATTTGTTCTATATATTTTTATGTAAAACTTGGATTCCGTATTGTGGCCCCGCCCTACCCCCGGGGGTCATGATTTTAACAATTTAATATCTACACTACCCAAGGAAGCTTCGACATAAGTTTCAGCTTTCCTGGCCCAGTGGTTTTTGAGAAGAAGATTTTTTAATGACCCCACCCTATTTTTGTCTTTTCTTGATTATCTCTCCTTGTGAGGGGACTTGACCCTTCATTTTAACAATGTAAACTCCCCTTCACCCAAGGATGCTTTGTAATAAGTTTGGTTAAAATTGGCCCATTGGTTCTTGAGAAGAAGTCGAAAGTGTGAAAAGTTTACAGACGGACGGACGGACAACGGACAAAATGTGATCAGAAATCTCACTTGAGCCTTCGGCGTAGGTGAGCTAAAAACTATTATACAGCCTTTCCTTTAATATCACATGACATTAATGGCAGTATACATTACTGTTAACAAAGAGATACAGCATTAACAACTTTCAGTGTATTTCTTTGTAAAACTTTTTCACTTAATTAAAATTACTCTACAATTTACAAGCATCATTTTTTTTTACAGAAGTCTAAGCATCAGTGGACAAACAGCTAGTACATTTATCTCTAAGTGTTCCAGTGGTAGTCTTTGTGAAAGAAACACGTGCGCCTGGACGAGTGTCCGCATTTTAAACCAAAAATGGACTGTAACACAGCAAACATTACATGTACTAAATGGCTATTAATACCTATGTGCTTATCTGAATTCTAAGTGTACACAGTCTTTATGGATTCATTTAATAAAACTGTATTAGAGTAACTGCATTTTATCATAAAAAAGACGATTATAGATTTTGTATATGCACGTTTCATACACTAGAATGTCTTAGTTTTTAGCGAACAATGTATGAAATCATGATAACTAATAAAACACATTCGAAGAAATTCCGAAATTTTTAAAAGAAATTTTAATTATGATAAACTATAAATTGAATACATGTAAAATCTGAAGTCCATGTACCTGTTGCTTTCATAGTGAAAATTTTAAATCATTCCGGTATTCATTACAAAAAAAAAAAAAAAATAAATCCAAGAAATACATTCAAAATTGCAAATAAAACAGTTATTCAATCTTCATGCCTTAATCTAATAAACGTCCCCCCCCCCCCCCCCCGCCCAGTTTAACATGTCCCTTTTCTTGTCGGGTGTTGACGACCGACTCATTGTACAAACATGTTTCTCTAATAACTTCCAAATTACGTGATGAATTCTTGCACAATTGTATCATTACTAAAATACGATCCTTCGATTCTGGAACTTGCGCAGCATTTCTGAACGTTTAATGTTTGTTTTATTTATAGATAGATTCTCGCAAGAACCGGAATACATAGTAACCTGCGCGTGTATAAAAACCTGCCAACTCTCATAGATACAGAGGCAGAATCGGAAGCGTTCAGAATCGATAAGTTGTTACCGAAAAAATCATGTCTCGCTTAGTTCCAGTGGATTATTTTGATTGGGGATTTTTTGATAGACAAAAGTCACTTTTTCCAAAGTTCAAAGGCATTTTTAATGAAAGTTTTGAGGATTTTGATAAGGAATTGGAACAGATCAGAAAAGAGATGTTTCAGTTGACCCCTCTGGACTTTGGTGCTGGGTTTGACAAAGACCCTTTTGGTAAAGACTTTTTTGGGAAGGATAAGGACTTCTTTGGAAAGGATCCTTTTGCAGGGTTTGGTTCAAGCATGTTAAAAGTAGAGAAACCTTTCATTGAAGATATTTCCGGAAATAAGAAATTGAATCTGAAATTCGACTGTAGTCAGTTTAAACCGGAAGAAATCACGGTAAAGACTGTGGACCGGAACTTAACAGTACAAGCTAAACACGTGGAGGAATCACCTGGGAAGAAAATCCACAGAGAATTCACCAAGTCCTACACACTTCCGGAAAACATTGACCCCATGAAGGTCACTTCCACGTTGTCCGGAGATGGCGTCCTATGTATTGAAGCACCTGCCCCCAAGAGTGTGGAGGTTCGCAACGAAAGAATCATTCCCATTGAAAAATTGGCAATCAAGTAATAACATTTCTTTGTAATGAACATTGAGAGAACTGAGGCAATTGATTTAAAGTTTGTGATATTTTTACTAGGCAGTTATACAGGATATTCATGTTTACATTGTCATATAATTAAAAAGATTCAAATTAAATGATCTCCTGATTAAACAAATTCATAGACCGCAAATGTGTCATATTTTGGAAACAGCTAATCTACACTCAGATGGTGGAAATCGGGATATTTAGCCACAAGGTATCATCTGTCAAAAGTATTTTTTTTCAATATCTGGTAATCTCTCTCCTACGATATAAATACCATGTATTAGTATGCGTTGTACATATGCTCCTTTTTATCTTAATTATGGATCTAATCTGACAGCACAGAATAAACATAAACATCACTGATCTCCCCATCTTTCTATGTTATCAGGAATAAATATTTCCTGAAATCTTTCATGACTGTATTCCCCGTCTGCCTTGATACTAATCAATGGCTCAGACATCCAGAAGGACGGAGCAATGTTGCTGAAGGTCACTTACCACAAACTTAGGTGTCACTGCCCTTACCCTTCTCTCCTACAGCGAAAGAGAAAGTGAGAATTTCGATCTCTACTGTAAAAAAGGTTGTTGGAAACGCAGTGTTTCATGCCAGGCGCGGATCTAAAAATTTTTCCAGGGGGAGTCCACCACAGTCCAAAAAAAAAAAAATCCAAGCCAAAATTTCTTCGCAAGCAAAAAAAAATAAAAAATAAAAAAATAAAATAAAATTTAAAAAAACCCGTTAACTCGTCCAAACGTAAAAAAACCTTTTTTTTTTTGGTTGTTGCTTCAAACCTTTGACTTTTCAATTTAATACAAATTCGCGTTCACGAGGGGGGTTTGCGTTTTCCAAGGGGCTCCAAGGTCACTTCTTTCTTGCTTTAGTATATAAATTTAATAACTTGCAGTGTTTCATGTAATTATAGAGTCAGATGTCATGTAAACGTCCCTACGTTTTTAGCAAGAACTTGTCATTGAATTAATTCAATAATTTTCTCACATTGAAAAGAGAGGATTGTTTTCCGTGCGTAATTCTTCTGCAAATCGCCAGAACTTACATGTACCGATAACACAATTGTTGGTGTAATTCTTGTTTGTTTGTTGTTTAATGTCCCTCTCGAGAAGTGATTCACTCATATGAAGACGCCACCACTTGCCGGTGGAGAGCTGCAAATTTTGACTTACTCAGGGCCATTCAGCGGTGAGGAATCTTTTTTCGTGCCAGCACCTACACGGGGCCTCGGTTTATACGGTCTCATACGAAGGACTGGTCACCACGTCCCACATTGGAAATAAATTCGAACACGCGACGTACGGATCATCTCCTTACTTCGAGAATCTAGAGCAAACGCTCTCACCACTGCGCCACTCAGTCGATCCTTAAGACGCGGGTTCGAACCCCACTGTGAAACGTGGGAACCGGTCCTTAGATGAGACCATATAAACCGAGGTTCCGCGTGTCGCAGTAGGTTACTGGCACGAAAAAGATCCCTCATTGCTCAATGGCCCTGAGTGCCGAGTATAGGACAAAATTTGTAGCTCTCCTACAGCAAGAGATGGCGTCTCCATATAAGTGAAAAATTCTCAAGAGGGACGTTAAACAATATACAATCAATCAATCTAACAGCGCTACGCGGGCGAAGTGCACTTCAGGAAAACATGCAGACCAAAAATAACAAAATAATGATAACTGTGATAAATTAAAACAATTTTTCGGTAGACAATGCACAGTTCTAAATGTAACCTTCACCATTCATTGTAGTGGCATACCTCGGAGAACATGGGGTGCTACAAGATAATACCAGTATAAAAATCATAACTTTAAAGATTTTTTTTTATTTTAAAAAATCATTATCATTAAAGCAAAATTTTATATCAGTTTTCACAGGTTTTAAACAAGAGGATGAAAATTGAAAAATTTAAGACAAAACAGAAAAATAAAAATATGTTAAGAACAATAACACAGAGCTTGGGCTGCTTTACATAAAATTTATAAAACTGTTTCACCAGTTTCCCTATAGCCCTGTAAAACAAGAACTCAAAAAAGACTTTTAATCATTTATTTAAGATATATTATTGACAAATATTTACAAACCATGTACATGTATCGGCATTTGTGGAGAGAATACTAAATCATTGAGGGGTACATTGTGTTCCATATTGCACAACAGCTTCTGAAAGGAAAGTTATACTGGTAACTGCAGATTGGGGCTTTAACAACACAGTACATCATGTACATTGACAACATTTTCATCAGTTTCATCATTAACATAAATTTTCATCAAACTACATGTAAAAGGGAACTTTGTGAATTTGGATTTTGAATAAGAAAAATTTAGCCAAAAAGAAAAAAAAAGAAAACCCAATCACCAAAATACCTTTGTTCAAGCCATGTCCTGCAAATGTAATTAAAAGAGATTTACTGCTTGAGACTAGTAGACTAAATTTCTTTTAAAAATCTTAATTAAAAAAATAAGTCATTCTCTTCTCTGTAATAGTGCATTGACACATAAATACATTGCCTAACTGCTGTAATTCCAACAGCTCTTATCACAAAACCTTTCATCTTTCATTATCTATGATAGTGCAAGCAAGTACCTCTGTCACATTGCATCTGAAGCTTATTACGATTTCTACCTTGAACACCAAAACAACAGCTGAGACTTATAATAGACATTTACAATGCCTGTGTTCCATCAAAGCTGATACATGCTTGGCATAGTATGTTGAAAAATCATAAATATATTTGTATTCCTAGTGTCACTATGTAAAATAGATTATGTTGCACTTTGGTAAACGTTTGAAGAAACAAATCACAGTGCCTTCCAAAAATTATATATTGATTGATACTTCAGTAAAACAGATTTATAAATATTACCATGATTACTGTACATGCACACAAAAATTTGTTGGCACCAGATTTGACATACTTGTACACATGAAAATGGTAAAATAAAATGGTAATAAATAAATTAAAGAATCTTGTGAACATGATCATTAAAATTGTACATGCAGAATGCCTTCACATTTCACTGACTGTCATAGTTGATAAAAATAAGAATTTCACTATACCATGGAATTGGATCCAGCTACCTTGTCTGCAGCCTACAAAGAAAAGTTTATAATGTACTGATACATTGTAAGTGTACCTGTGATGGGAAAACTGGGGTAGAAGTGTCAGCAACTTTGGCCCCAAAAAGTAGACTGTAAGACATTTTGGTTGGCAAAATTTTACATTTGTGCCTCCTTGGAGTCTCTGTCCCTGGCCACATTGACAGGTGCTTGTTACTGGACTTTGAATTCTATTTTAACAGTTCATTAATTTATTCAATTTCTAACCCCAAGTATGTATTCTTTTAGTTATTGAAATATAAACTATCTTAGATATTTTGAAAATGCTAAATGAAAGAAAGCCTTATTTCTATTCTACCTCATGTATGTGACAAGCAATCCTGGGAGTATTGCATATTAAGTCAAGATGGACAGATTGTTGTGTGAGACAGAGGGATGCACAGATAAATCAGATGATTAAGAAAACTTGAATCCCCCACCCCCATTTTAACTGGAGGGGAATTAATAATATCTTCTTTAATGTGGTGTCTGAAATTTGTAGTGGATAATGAAATAATCCTGCTTAATAAACACTTAATCAACCACAGAAAAAATAGAGGCAACAATGTAAAAAGACAGACACATTATTATAACTGAAGCCTTCTTATAAGCATCAAAGTAAGAATTAGCTCTAGAAACTGCTGATGCGGCTCTTATCTGTATAATGTTCACTCATCAACATTACTTATGTGTATCAGTTTTCTTTGAGGAAGCAATTTTCAGTATGTGTTTGCCAACAGTCAAATTCTTTTCAACATTAGTTTTTTTCTACATTAGTATGTATGAGAGAAGCCATTCCACATTGTTGTGCAGTTTTCCTATTATCGGTTGATAGAACTTCTTTGTTTGCCAAGATCTACAATAGCTGTGCATTCCATGCTTTTCTTTTAGTCTGAATAATAACAAGCAAAGTGGTTCATGCACTCTCCATTATTTCACATCACCACACATGCCTTAAAATGTGTCGGATGGTGAGCTCAGGCCTATAAAACATATGGTTGTTTTGGGAGGAGAGGGAAAAACAAGTTAATGCCAATTACTTCACGTCACATCAATCATAAGGAAATGAATATATATAATAATAGGAATGGGTATTTTCACAGAAAGAAATAATTTATAAATATATCATGCTGTCCAATGGATCAATCAGGCTACTTTCTGTAAAATACTCTAGCTGCTGCATAGAGCACGTTTTCAAGATTAAACATTAAAAAAATTTGGTTTTTATTTCCTACACAATTTAAAACAAGCCACAGAAAATTAAAACCTTTACCGGTAATTAAATATGAACCGCTCTTCGAAATCCATGTATCATACACATAAAACAAGTACTAGTATGTAATCAATTTAAAAGAAAGTTTTGATGCACTGAATTATGTATGGTAGTGTAGTCTACATTTGTACTTGTGAGCCAAGTTATACTGAAATCAGAAAAAAACCCGAAAGAGGAGTAGTGTTTTGAAAAATTGTTTAAGACATCTGACAAAGAGACAGCCAGACTGACAGATGGAAGATGGTCACCTTACTATCGCATATAAGCTCTTCACTGGTCTCTGTCCAGTAGAGCTAAACAGTAACTTTGATATATTCTTCACCCTTGATGCTCCTGCATTGCAACTGAACACCCCCCCCCCCAAAAAAAAAAACCCACTGTCCTGAAATTGACCCCCCCCCCCCCAAAAAAAAAAAAAAAAGTTGGGCCAACTTTGTTTTGTTTAAAATACTTTTTGTTTGTCCTCCCTGATTTCAGAATGCAAACTTTGGGTCAGTCTGTAGGAGGGCATTATTATTAATATTATTATTATTATTTTTTTGTAAAATGTTGAATTTTCAAAATCTATTTTTTGGAATTCTTAAAAAATAATTGTTTCCTGAGTTGGGCCATTTTCAGCCAGTTGGTCAGGAGAGAGCAATCAACCTACTGGTAATTTTTTAAGATAAGCCGGCCTATTATTGAGTTACTATAGATCACTATAACATTAATGTCTTTATATTGCTATACCTAGTAATTGAACAAATATGGAGGCATTTTTATGCCCCCAATTTTGTCAGTGGCATTAAAGCAATCTAAGGGTCTGTTGTCTATGAGAAAACAAGAGGCTCATGGGTTACATTGCTTACCTAAGTACATTGGCTTAAAAATTGTACAAATCAGTTCAGTATTGAGAAGTTTGCAGGGGTGGGAGTGGGGAGGGGGGTGGGGTGTAAACTACATAAGTATGCTTCCATATCAATATAGCAAAAAGCTTTGCTGTTCTTGAACAGAAGATTTTTAAGATTTTTTCCTTTGCATTCATTTCTAGAACTTTAATCTCCTATTGTGGCCCCTCCCTTGCCCCACAAGTCATCATTTAAACAAACTTATCTACACCACCTTCGGATACTACCATATGAATATGAGTAAAAGTTTTTCACTGAGCACAGGTGAGCTAAAAATGTCTTAAAGTACTTGGTTAGTTATTTGCAAGGAAATGACATGAAAATAAGTAAAATTGATTTTCAAAAATTTGTGACAGTGTGATATAACTGTCAAATTTCATTGAGTTATTCCTTTAACCATTTAACACAAAAACATGGCCATAAGTTTGATATACATTATTTTAATTTCTCCTTAAACTATATATTTCAAGCCTTGAAAATTACATTTTTCAAATTCAAATTTTTTTGTGAAAAAACCTGTGTTATTTTGGTAAAAAACTTTCTTATGTAGCTGGTAGTAAAAATAATCTTCAAATTTTTTGTATAATTTTTGTACGACCAGTTTTGATTTAATAGCGGAAAATTATTTCTCAATAAATAATTTTATCTGTAGGAATCTACAAATACACATTGTAAAAAAATACATGTATTGCTGTGAAAAAAAAATTAAGACTTTTAAAATTTGTTAAGAAATCATAAAACTTTGAGGTTAGACATTTATGTCTGGACAATTTAATAATTCATTCTGAATGATTATCATTAATGAGTATAATTTTGTTTAACATTTTTAGACAAGAAATATTGACTACTGGTTTTATATGTATTCAGTGAAAAAATCATGGAAATTTTATAGTGTTTAGCCCATATATGTATGCGTTATGCATTCCATACCACATAAAACCTTCATACGAATTCAAGTTAAATATGTTGTTTTTAATTTTATTTATTTTAGTGTAAAAATACATTTATGTTCAACTCTCCTGTGATACAATAATACTTATAGCTCTTTTACAAACCAAAAAATAAATACTTGACAACCAAAATTCCTTGTATTTCATTCACAAGTTTTTTTTTTCTTTCGTCCACATTAACTTCAAAATATCAAACATTAAACTCTATTTTTTAATTTATATCAAATCGCAAAAACTTTTTTTTTAAATCTTGGTTTTTGTTTTGATTAGAGGAAATGCAACCGACATTGTTTACAGTGACAGAAAGTTAAACGATTTGCTGCAATAGGATATTCATAAATTCAGATAATTTCAGAACTAGTAAATAATTCTTTTAAATTAAACTATACTTACTGTTTTTATTGTGTGTATATGAAAAAATATTCAAATAAAAAATAATTATCAAATCTTGCAAACATTTAAATTTACACATTGATTATCTGTGTATGCTGAAACAAATAGATAAACTGACAATGATTGTTCTAAAAAATTATGGAACAACATCGATTTTACATGTGAAAAGTGTTTGTGCCGATTGTTGTTTTATGAAGAAATATTTATATCGTAAATGCAAGGTAAATAATAAAGAATTTAATCTGTTATATAGTTGTCTAATGGCACTAAAGTGATCAGAATTAAACAAAAATGCTGCTCAAGAATACAATTTAATGTATATGAAATAAATAAACATTATCACTTTTTACGGAGTTTAATCGATTAATTAAAAAAATACTTATGTCATCACAACCAACCCACATATATCAACTTTTTTTTAATGATTTAATACAGAACAGTCGTTTTACTCCTTCCTTTTTGAAAATTTGAAATGGTTTTGAAATTGCAAGAGTTTCTCCCCCAGTGTGTTGTAAAAATGCACCACCTGACCCAACTACTTTTGAGTTTTGTCAGCCGTTATTTGAAAAATGTTTTTTGGTTCAATGTTTCAAATTAAAATTTATCAAATATTTGTGATAGATGTTGAAACTTTTGAATTTTTAATTTGTTAAATTTTATATATTTCAATGAAAAATGCATAAAATACTATAGCAGTGTTATGTGTTGCTCATTTTCTATATATTCGATCAATGCATACTATCTTTGCAAGATATATAACTTTATAACTAAACATATGTAAAAATAATTCCATCATGATAAAGAAAATTATTGTTCATGACCTACCTTGTGTATGTCATACGTTAAAGAAATCAAAAATAACGTCTAAAAATTATAAAGTCACTTTCCCCCCGAAATGCAAACAATCAATTTTTTACGCTTGCTCCCTAGCCTTTTGGGTGTTTGATATATAGAATTGTATACATTTTATCTTGTTGCACCAATGAATTTAATACTATATGAAACTTTTATCATGAAACATGTTTATAAGATTAATTATATAATGTTCTTAAAGAAAAAATTACTTACTGTGTGTGTATTATGGTAAATCTAGAATGGTGCCTATAATTGGAACTCTTCGTAAAAAGTTTACAGCTACGGGGAAAAATCCACTAAAAATGTAGAAAAATTCAATTTTTAACATTTTTCTTTTATATAAAAAAGTTTTTTAAAAAAATTTTCCAATTGGTATTTTTCTGTAAATCAAACAATCCATATAAAACTGTGAAGGACTAAAATTCTCTACTTACAGCAAATAAGTTAACAAATAATTCTCAGATCTGATATAAAGATACTGATTCATCTTTGATGTCAGTCTTACCTGAACAAAAGAAAGACCATACATCTCTACACACATTCCAATAACTGGCCACCCTAACAACACAATCAATATACCACCAACAAAGAAACTGGTAGCTTTTAATTTATGTCTTTGGAAAAAAAATCGGAAAGTTCTCTCTAATCCGATGACAAATGCTAGTCCACATATGAATAGTATCTGAAACAATAGAAAATACATGTATATAATGTTAATATTGTGTGTTTTCCGCAATAAATTATTAAGCATGGTGAATGACCATACATGGTGATATATATCATGATATATAGAATACGTTCTATCCTTATTCCTTATTAAATGATATTATTATCCTTCTGAACATTTTTCCTGCTTCAAATTTACCTGCTGCATTTACAAGCAGATCTCTGGATTATTCATAGTAAATGCACTGAATTTGATTTATCACCTGTGTTAATTTTGCTACATTATGAATACATGGAATGATTTCTTATGCAGAACCAGGTCCGTAGGACAATATCACTGTAACAATAGAATGTTCATCTACCCTCTGATTTGCTACATTGCAACTATATGGGATGTATTCTGTGGTGAGGGCTTGTCCCGAGACAAAGTTAGATTCTTCCCACTAATAGTGAGAGTGCAATGATTTGGATAGATTAGTATCAAGCCTGTCTGGAATATTTACTGATGGCTTGTTCGGGTCTTGATAATCCATTTGGGAAATTCAATCCCTTGTTATAGATTGGTCCAAACCTGTATATGAGACCATCAAGTTGGTATGTCAGTGTCACTGTATATATCTGTATATGTATCCAAACCATACTAAGCCGGCATAACTTTCAATTTCAGAGGAAAAGATGTAAAATTATTTATTTAAGAAAACACAACTTAGACTTGATTATCTTATTCTTACATTTCCTATTGCCAGCAATCCTTTGTCAAACAAAAACAAAACGCCCAGAAATAGGAAGGCGATACCAAAACCCGCCAAGCCAACTCCAATTTCTGTAGAGAAAAAAAACATAAAATGATATTTTTACAATGACGTAACAAAATTATATTCCTTACATTCCCAAATATTGAGATTTCTAATTTAACCACAATATTTGAAGAGTATCATATTAATAACTCTCTCTACCGGTGGAGGAAATTCGAATGAAATACAAAATAGAATTTCCCTGGGTTTGAAATAAAGGGAAAGCAACATACTTTGAAAATCTGTTACTTGATACATCGTGGATGTTTATCGATTTACGAACAAGACAAGAAACGGTTCTTGTGACATTTGGCTTAGCCAAAACTTGTCTCAAGCTGCTGTCTCGCTGTTTTCGCCACGACTCGGAACTATTTTTCCCCCTTCTAACACAAAAGAGTTCACAAAGTTGTGTAACTCGCACTTCAAATAATCACGATTTAGGAGATGACTTAATGCAGTATAAGTGGATTAATTATGTTGAAAAAACACTAATTGATTGTGGAATGTCTGAGTTATGGTTGCAACAGTTTTCTCCAAAGAAAATGTTGGTGTCAAAATTGGTAAAAACTAGATTAATTGATCAATTTAAGCAGAATTGGTATGCCTGTATTTTTGAGATGCCAAAAACCCTTAATTATAGGATATTTAAATTAGAACATTATTTTGAAAATTATTTGATATATTTACCAAAGGATTTGAGAAAAGCTTTATGTAAATTTAGATGTATGAATCACAGATTTCCTATTGAAAAAGGTCATTTTTCATGAGTTGATAGAGATGATCGTATTTGTGATCTTTGTTCCTCTAACAATTTAGGAGATGTCTTTAATTCCACTACCTTTTAGAATGTTCTTTTTTCAAGAGTGAACGAAAAAAACTTGTTCCAAATATTTTTTTATACTAACCCTAATGTTATCAAATTTCACGACTTATTAAATTGTAAGGATACTAAAGTTATTTCTGGGCTTGCCAAATTTTGTAAAATTTTATTGTCAGTAATACATGTAATATGTTAATATAAATACCAAAACTACTACTTAACAAATGTTATAAATACATACAGTTTTATTTTGTATAAGCAGGGGCCTTCTATACTTTATCATTTGAACTTTAAATGTGAATTGTACATGTAAATAACATTAGAACCACTCATTCTTTCATGCATTCTTGTTTATTTGTAAAAAAGTTGTATTATTTGTATTCATATACCCCAGTTGGGGTCTTTGTCTTAAATAAAAACTTGAAACTTGAAACTTGAATTCCACTACCTTTTAGAATGTGTTTTTTAAGAGAGAACGAAAAAAACTTGTTCCAAATATTTTTTATGCTAACCCTAGAGTTATCAAATTTCACGACTTCTTAAATTGTAAGGATACTAAGGTCATTTTTGGACTTGCCAAATTTTGTAAAATTTTATTGTCAGTAATAAATTGATAATTTTATAGCAAAACTACTGTGTAACAAATGTAATAATACATATAGTTTTAATTTGTATAAGCATACTTTAATGTTTTAAGGTATATATGTGCATTGTAAATAACTTCAGTGCCAGTCATTCATTCATGCATTCTTGTATATATGTTAAAATATTGTTTTATTTGTATTCATATACCCCAGTTGGGGTCTTTAAAAACTTAAACTTAAAAAACAAATATTGAAAGTGTGTGTATACTTACCCAAATGCTATCAAAGTTTATGACCCGAAAAGTAAAAAATATCATTACAAGATTGAAAAAAGTCAATTTCGATCCATGGAAATTTCTTGAATCCTTTTACATGCAATCTTTAAAAGAATTCACAAGGTGAATACTTAATTCTCTCTATCTATTTTTTCTTTATCTTTATCGTTATCACCTTTTTCCTAAATTGAATTGAACTACGCAACGTAATATAGGAAAATTGAATTTATCATATGACTGGAAAATTTACACTAATAGGCACTCCCCATCTCAAATGTTAAAAATTATGCATCTAGTATACTTAAATGTTAATAGTATAATATTTTTTCCCTAACAATTAAGATGGGGAGTGACTATGATTTAAAAGTTTTCGAATTTGTATCGCACGTCGAAAACTAAATCTACCTCATTAAATTTTTCATATAATTCTGTAAATCTGTAATTATTCTTCTTTTATTTCCGGGGGAAGATCATTAGAATGTAACCAAAAAAAGTCTATTTAAAAAAAACTAACAAACCAGGGTGGCTCTCCCGACACATTTTTTTTTTCGGAGGAAGGATACATATTTCATAGTCATAAAAGCTCACTTATTAATACTTCAGTCGTATTTTTTAAAATTCATTAACATATCCATAAATCAAATATCTCGAATTGCATTATCCATAATACAATGATAATCAAAGTTGGTAATTCTTAAAAATATAATGTTCTAGCAGAGTATTAAGGTCTCATAAGAATGAATTCAAATATTAAATTTAATGATTTCTGAAACTTGTACACATGCATTTTTATATGCCCGTAGGAAGAATTGTTTTTCCGTTTGAACCAGAAAAAAATGCCTTGCAAAGAATAAATTGAAAACAACCATAATATGTAGCCACATCATTTTATATTTTTTGTCGTAAAATTTTATTAGAAATGCTACTGGGTTTGGGTTGGGGTTTGTCATTGCTCCCCTTTGCTTTACATATTCAAGGATTGTTCTTTCTATTACAAATTCAATTTAGTTCTTTTTTTTTTAATATTCACCGGTGTTCAGCCAAAACACACTAACGCACCATTTATGTTCTAGACTTAAAAGACTGACATCTAGTAGTCATAAGATTATGATAGATCTTTAGAATATCATAAGATACGGGACTGTTTCGAAGCAGCTATGACGTAGCAATACACAAATTTTCGGTCTTAAGGCAGATCTAAAGCATAAGATAGTTTTGTGAAATGGACCCAGAAATGTTCTCCACTATTCTGGCTCTACTGCAACTTAATTAAAGAAAAATTCATATTGCTAATTCAAATAGGTGAATAGAATTCAATAAGCACTGTAAAAACATACATGTAAATAACTTTCACAAAAGTATGCGTTAATTTTCCTCTCCTGGAATTCCACACTTTACTGGAAGGATCAGAATTGTCTGTGATTACTTTAGAAACAATGGGGCATTTCAAGATAGAGCATAACAAGCTGCGATAAATAGAGAAGAAAATTGCCACGTCTTGAACATATAATGGTAGACCTCATTTGAGACTTTTTTATGGTTTCCCTACCAAAGTAATTATAATAGAACTTTCAGAACAGGGAGTGGGTTAAGACTAAGATTGGGAAGAGAATCGGAAACGTACTAAGTCTTCCTCGCATAGATTCCTTTACTTATATCGAACGACTCCATTTTTGAATGAAGACAGGTCTATTTGAAATAGCTTCAAGGTTAAAGCCACCAATAAAATGAACTTTTTTCCTAGATTTAATTACTACAAATTTTGGTTCTATTGATCAGAGCATTTCTTCAGATCTAGACATCATTTTCATTGGCTTTTTTAAAGGCATGGCGCGTGACTTTTTCAAAGGGAATTAAAATTCACATACGACAATGTGGGTTAGTTCGCTTGCAACATTTTATTTACTAGTACATGTATGTTCCTCTCTGAAGAACGTAGAAAGCATGAACACAACTAACGTCCAATAACTTCTTTTTGCACATCTACTATAAAGCACATGATTTCTATCGCATTTGAAAAAGAACAGTGTAACCTAAATGAAAACATGAAGGGGATTTACCATAGTTTTCTATTTTCCCCTGATGATTGTAAACATTGAATAGAAGTGGAAAAATGAATTTGAAATAAAAGAACTATATTTTTGGCGAGGCTGTGGCGAATGAAATGATCATACATGTATTTTATGCTTCTTAAATTACTACAGAATGAAACATATGGAGATAACAAAAGTATTCAAGATCAACAGTCCATAAAACAATACAAAATAGGAGCAGAGCAAACACGTACCTCCAAAACATCAGAGGTGGGATCCAAGTGCCATGGAGGAGTGAGCATCTCCAGCCGACCTGTCACAGCCGCCGTGTGCTCCTTGTCATGATCGGGAAATAACGGAAAAATCCATCGTCAATTCAGTGTATAAATATTGGACTAACAGTAAGATGAAAAACGTCAGTCAGCATTTGACTCAATGATAAATTGTATTTGCAGATAAGGTCAGTAGTTGTATCGACAATAGAACTTACGAATGACTTTAAACGAGACTGCTGATATTCTTGTCTCATCAACTTATTTGTCAATAATTTACCTCGTTTTAAAAATTAAACAGGCTTATTTGAGTAATTTTATTGAATAATAATGAAGCATGAGCGTACTCCTCGGTAAAAATTTAACATCAAAAATGAAATTTCTATCTTCAAAAAAGTTCTATCAATAATTAATTGCATAATTTAAATCAGTGGTTGCGCTCTCATGCGAAATGTTAAAGATATAGCTTTAAAATGACTGATTTTAAAAACTTATTCAGGATATCTGTAAAATGACAAAATTCATGAAGTTATAATGAATTGAAAATCATATCTTTTTTAGATTGATTTCCAAACACCTATAGGACCTAAATGCATTTGATGCATTTTCATCACAATTTAAGGAGTTTTACTTAAAAAAAAATCACAGGGCCAAAAAAAAATGCCCCAAGAGAACTTTGTTCATTCTACTTACAATGTACTAAATCTGAACCAAAGTATCTCTAAGCTAATCGTTGCCTGGTTGAATGGTAATTCCCTAACCTTGATAATTATTTCACACAATTCCAATTATTGGGTTAAGTGCCTAAGCAAGCTTTGCTTTTCACCTCTGATAAGAGAGCCTGTGTGTCAGGTAGTTCTAATAAATAATTGTTATCATTGGTTTAAAATTGCTACGTACTAATTTTCATTTTATAAAAAGCTACATGTATATTGAGTACGAGATGTTAAAAAAATGGAGCATTTGAATTTATATATTATGTAAAAAGAATGTTAGATACAGAATTGTTAATACCAAATTACTTGATAATTAATAATAAAAAGTACACTGCAACCGATGTCCCTTTATTTCCTTTTTTATTTAAACGTTTTAGTCACGAAAGACGACAAAGACCATCTAATAACTTTACTGTATGACGAATGAGGTAACCGACTTATTCATCGTCATCTTTCCTTATTTCTGTATTAACTCCATAATCTACTGCATTATCCATATGGTGTTTATATATCCTAATTTATTCACTACTCAAGAGTATGCCCTGAGTCAAATCTTTTTTTTTTGGCCGAGGCCGTTCATTGGTATTTATAGGGATTTCAACAACCTCATTTAAAGTCAGCATTTCCTAAATCCTGTTTCTTTTATTAAAATGACATTGATAAGAAATAAACTATCACTAACCCTGAT